ATTCATGTAGGGATTAGGATATTACTTTTCCCTTTCTTTTCTTATCCCATTCACGTGGAGATTAGGATATTACTTCTCCTTTCTTTTGTTATCACATTTACGTAGGAATTAATATATTACTTTCCCCCTTTCTTTTGTTATCACATTCATGTAGGGATTAGGATATTACTTTTCCCTTTCTTTTCTTATCCCATTCACGTAGGGATTAGGATATTACTTCCCCTTTCTTTTGTTATCACATTTACGTAGGAATTAATATATTACTTCCCCCTTTCTTTTGTTGTCACATTTATGTAGGAATTAATATATTAATTTCCCCTTTCTTTTGTTATCACATTCACGTAGGGATTACGATATTCTTTCCTCTTTTATAACAATCACAATCTCATTACACACACACACTTCTTTATCTATATATTGAAACAAAACAATACAGAATAGAAGAGGTTCTTGTGAACTCTGAACATGAATGCTAATAAGATTATTTGTGGTTAAAATTGAGTTTTTACTATTGTAATTCCTTTCACATACCTCAGTTTGTGTTACCACTTAATTTTGATTTCCTGTTCTTTTATACATAGAGATAAAATTGATATGTTATTTATTTATCTGCTTTCAATGTTTGGAAAGTAAGTATTGGATTACAGTAGCCAATATTAGGCAGTTGTGCTATAAACCAGCTACCTTCCTTCTAGTTTATCAGCTCAAAGTTAAAGACAGTTAACACAGATAACTTAGCACAAATATCCGAAGCAGAAATAAAAATGTCTCTAAATCTTACAGATGAATCAATTAAAGCGTAAATAACACATTAGTGAGCTTAATCCCTACGTGATTGTGATAACAAAAGGGTACCCGTAAGGACGAATGTTTGTTGATAAAATATCAATATTTGTTTACATAGATAAAAAAAGTACATATGGTTAAAATGCTATGTCATCTGACACATTTGGAGTAATGGTTATCTTTTTAGGATGATGATGATGAAGAATGTATTTGTTCACACTGAAGTGGATATTTTTAAGAACTTAGTAACGCGCAAAAACAGTTTTGCCTAAGTCTTCATGTGAGTAAAGTTTCTGGTATTCTTTCATATCTCACTTTGATCATCAGATTATTCGTTTGTTTGAGTATGTGCATTAGCATGAAGATGTGGGTGAGCTTTGGTATTCCAATCAAAGCTGAATTACTACATTTCGAGTTATTAAGTTTCAAAGGTCTAATGTATAGTTCAAGGTAATATTCAATATCATGAATTCAAGTAACTTTATTTAGAAGCAGAATTGAAAATAAGTACAAATAAGATAATATTTCCAGCTTTGAAATATGTGTTTTAGATGATACGACCATTTGATAACATAAAATGTCACTTTCAAATGTTATAATAACGGTTAGACAGATAAGAAAACATGCATGTAGATAAGTTTAGGATTGTTCACGACAAATATCTTCTATCTTGGGATTAGTCGTCGATTTTCCATAACGAGTGAGTTTGAGGTTCATCTCTTAGTACATCTCTTAGTACAAACCTGTTGATAACATATTTTACTTTCACTAACTAATAAATGTTATCTGCGTTAGATGTAAAAGCATTAGTTATGACTAGAAACGAGGAATATTTGAAACACTGCTTGTGGTAAATTACAGTATATATTACAACGTAACTGAAACTTTCAGTAAAGTGTTTAAATTCAGTCTGGATATGTTTTTCAGAGTACGTGATTGGAATAATTTCTTTCATTAACGTAATGGCAATGCTTTTTTTAAGTTATTGGCCGCGGCACAGCAGATCATAGAACGGCCCTGAGTATTTGTTTTTTGTTGGTTTTTTTTCATGTACAAACTTTTAGTTCATAGCTCCGTCACCTTTTGAGCGATTTCACTTTTCCACTCAGGAAATCAAACCCTTTCGATTGATATATTTGACCACGCCCAAGGTCTCATAGATTAATTTACTCTAGTCCTGCCTAAAAGAATTTAAATTTGAGGGTAGACTGATAGAGATCCTGATGAATGATAAAATCAAATCGGGTATACGCGCGCCCCACGCTTGTTATTGATGGCGCACAAAAATATAGCTAATACAAAGAAAAATAAAGGTCTCATAGATTAATTTACTTTAATTCTGCCTAAAAGAATTTCAAGTGCCGCAGCTATTGAGAGTTCCATCTTGTTTTTTAATTTATTTAATTTAAACATGCTAGACTGTAAACATTTATTGTACTAATCTATTGAAATAAAAAAAGATCATCCACAATTAGTATCTCTGCGAGGCTGAAGTCTTTATTAGTTTTATTTTATATTTAACCTTGATATACTTGATATCAGTCGATCGTATCATGAAATGATTAATCAACAATATTAGATAAACTCTGGAAAAGTTAATCAATTTTTTTCTATGTAATTACAAATGTGTAGCTTCAACATTCTGGAATATACAACTATCGCTACAATGTCCGGTAATTTATCTTACTCTCATGTTTGTTTATAAAAGTTTTGCGACTGGGTAAAGAAAAACTTTATAAATAAAATGAGAGAATGACAAAATATTGTCAAAACGTCGTACATTTATAATAAAGTTTTTTTAATTACCTAGTCAAGCCGTCGACGAGACATACATTCGACATGTAATGCTGTTTACAAGAAGGGAAACAACGCCTCTGTAGCCACAAATAATATCAAAGAAGTTTATGGAAATGTTTTGAACGTTCGTAAGTGTCAACGATGGGTCAGTAAATTTCATTCAG